GTGTGTGTGTGTGTGTGTGTGTGTGTGTGTGTGTGTGTGTGTGTGTGAGAGAAGACATGGGGGTATATATTATCCCAAGGTCACTTATGTTTTCATTAGGTCTCTTTCTTTCAGTGTAGTTGAGCCCCCGGATTAATGAAGGCGAGACCTCCTGAATATGAATCCTCTTCATCAGATGACTGACTATGTGGCGGAGTGACAGGCCATACTCCCAATCGGTCACCTTAATGACGCTGCGGGTAAAACGAAGGTTTCTATATGCCCATGTCCTTCCCTATTATGATGAATAAGAGTGATCCGGAGTCATGTTGATGGAAAATCTCCCCATTAAAAGGGCAACCCGGCTCTGATCCATCAGCGCTCTAATCACCGCCAAGACCAGTATTGATTCATTCAGAAAGTGCCCTGATGAGAAAAGATGGCGATAATATGAAATGTGCATTCATCAGCGTCTTCATGAATCTTATTTATGGTGAAGGGCCTGTGCATAATATCTTACCGTCCAAATCCCCGTTTGAATCTGTAATCCTGCTGTCTGTCATAACTACACCATTGTTCTCAAATACCGCACAACGCGTTTATCAGCTTATTCTCTCGGTGACTCGGCTGCCGTGAAACATTATACGGACATTTTAGCCCAAATGATTCAATCATTGAATCAAGAAAAACATTTTTTGTTATCAAGAAATATATGACATCAACCTTTTTTTCACGGACAATCCCCGACTCGTGTGTTATCGTTGGAACCCCTGATTCCAGTGACTCATACTGGACTCCTCCAGTCTGTCCGAGGCGCTCCCAGCTTTCCTCCCGCTGCTGCAGTCCCGGTGGGGGGGTGGTGGTGGTGGGGGAGGGGGGGGTAGCCTGCATCCTGCGTTCAGTCAGAGCTGGAAATTTCGGATAGGACTTTCTCTGTTAGAGCAGTCGGAAGCCGCCCACCTCCTCCCGGCCCTCATTTGTTTATGACGGTAACACCATGTTAGCTGCAAGAGCAGTGGGCTGAGTGACTGGGGGTGCTTTTGCTCCGTGACATTTCCTCCCGCGATGGTATTCAGATACCGAGTTGCTTTCTCTTGTCGGGAAGCGGAGAGGATGTTGTAGTACCAGTCTGGAATTTTTTTAATCGAAGCGTAAACAGAGCTTCTGTTTTGTATTTATTTTTAATGCTTTGCATCTTAACTGAGTGGAAAAATGATGGAACGGAATGATTTGTTATTCAGGTGTCACTTGTAATGATGAACCCACATGGAATTATCACCAAACTCTACATTTTTGCTTCTTCTACAAACCGTTTTTTGGCATCTTCCAGATTGTAGATTTGATGTTTCTGGCCGATATCTTTACCGTTTCCTTTGATATTGCTCTCATCAACCTTGTTTGTTGCCCCAGCAGGCTGCTGTTCTCACTGAAAAGCAAATAAACCCGCCGTACGCTACCTGCCCAGCAGAACAGCAGACAGACACAGTTGGCGACTAGCTGGTGAACATAGTGGGTGCATCCCAAGTCTCGTACTTGCATCCACGTTTTTCCTCACGTGCGTCGACCCATGCGAGGAGAGAGGAAACAAGGAAATGTGTTTTAAGAGAAATGAGACGTCCTTTCTTCTGTAGCGTCAGGTGAAGCGACGTCTGTTTCTGATGACGGCGGCCGCTGATCACAGCTGGATCAGCCGTCATCGGCTTTAACAGCTGGAGAGACTTTTGACGGAGTCCACATGCACTGTACTAATGCTAATAAAGACACAGTTAGCATCACTGCCAGAGTAGAGATGTTTCCTCTTTGTAGCCTGTTTCCTGTTTAACAAATCAAATAAACAATCAAATAACCGATGAACGATGAGGGGGCGTGTCGGCCGTTAAAACACTTCCTGGAATGCTGCTCTCGTGCATCCTTGCTCATGCCTCCTCCAAGATCCCTCCTCGCTCCTCCAGGAAATGACTAATAAGAGGTGGGATGTACCCAGTGTGAGCTAAAGAGACAGATGTTTCCCTCAGGCGTTGGTGGAGACCAAACTAGAGTTCAAAGGAGAGTAAATACTAGACGTACCCTCTCGAGGTGGCTAGTCAAAACGTACAACAATGGAAAATCAAGCATTAAATACGAATATCAACAGCGTTACATACTCGAGTGCTGAGCTTGGCTTTTGATTTCGGCACATAAAGAGCTAAAATGTTTGTATTCTAGACTTGCCTTAAACGTGTACGACTGTGTCCTTGTAAAATCAATGACGGCCTATATGCCTCGGTTCTGCTGTGTGTCCTGTGCGTGTCCACGCTCATGTAAGGACTCTAAAGACAGAGTTGCCATGGAAAGATAATTATCCTTGAAAGATGAATACCCTTCTCATGCCTGCAGGACATCAGAATAACATCACACAAAGAGCACGCACACACACTCACACAAACACACTCTCACAATCACATTCACAGGTGTGCTTTGTCATCTACATCTCTAATTGGGCCAACCTGGCTCACTGAAAAGGCAAATCTGCCCACGAGCGCTTTTCTATATTCAGCATTTCCTCTCATCTCTTCCTATGTGCACGTATCAGATATCCTCTGAGGTCCTCTTCTCACACACGCAGTCGCTGGGTTTTTTTCTCGCTCACTTTCTCCCACTCAAGTTTATTATTTTTTTTCGACAGCTTACTGGCCTGTTGGGCCTGAGACTCTCATAGAGCCTAAACGGGACACTGTGTGCTCTGTTGTCCACTCGGACATTCCACAGATATGATTTCTCTCACTCTTATCCATCCCGCCGTCACTGCCAAAGCCCACAAGGTACATTAATTGCATTATGTTTTTTTTCTTTTTTCAATTATCATGAAGATCAGTAAATCAGATGCTTTCACTCTGGATAGCTCATAAGTTTCCATGGGCTTCGTGCCAGAACAAAGGACAATCCGTCCAAATTGTAAAAATGGGTGTAAACTCATAAAGCAGCGTTTTTATAGAGGAGACTGTGGGGGTGGAGTGGAACACAGGTCCAACATAAACAAATGCTTCGAATGATTTGTGCTCAACAGACTCAACGACAAAGATGTCCGCTCTGCCCTTTCATCTTCTCTCCTCGGAGTGGAGTTTTGTGTTGCGTATCCCTGTGTTTGCCTTGATGTATTGAACGTATAAAAATAAAAAAAACGAACCCGAGACCGCTATGTACAAAGCAGGTTACACCAGTAGAAATACCTTTTTGTAATCCTGCCTATCGGTATGTTTCGCAGGGCGAGTCGGACGACTCTAGTGACCTTCCTCGCGACATCTCGCTTCTGTATTTTCATAGAAACAAACACCACACGTCTCTTTTCTCAGGACATCGGAGCCTTCATTGGTTCTCAAAGTCATTTCTGTCACGACTCAACGGCCGTTCAGAGAGTGCATGTGATCTTGTTGCCACTTTTTTATTTCCCAACATTGTTGCGCATCAGCTCTGCAGAACAGCAGCAACTTCATCACATTCATCCCCTGTATCCTTTGAAATTCCAGAGATACTCCGATAGTGGTTTGTGATGTCATTTCAACTCGCCCTACAATTATATTTCATCCCATATGTGCAATTTTATCCAATTCTTTTCCTATATATGTTTACATAATGAAAAAAAGGCCT